ACACACTCTCTCTCACACACACACACACTCACACACACACACACACACACACAGACACACACTCTCTCTCACAAACACATTCTCTCTCTCACACACACACACAGACACACACTCTCTCTCCCTCTCTCTCACAAACACACACACCTAATAGATTATTAAAAATATTTATTGGCATCATTTCTATTAAACATGACTGCGATGATATCAGAACATAGTCAGAAGTCATGGCCGTCGACTTCCGTGTGGGGAAGTCATGGCCTAATGGTTAGAGAGTCGGACTTGTAACCCAAAGGTTGTGGGTTCGAGTCTCGTACCGGCAGGGATTGTAGGTGGGGGGAGTGAATGTACAGCGCTCTCTTCCACCTTCAATACCACGACTGAGGTGTCCTTGAGCAAGGCACCGAACCCCCAACTGCTCCCCGGGCGCCGCAGCATAAATGGCTGCCCACTGCTCCGGGTGTGTGTTCACGGTGTGTGTGTGTTCACTGCTGTGTGTTTGCACATTGGATGGGATAAATGCAGAGCACTAATTCCTAGTATGGGTCACCATACTTGGCCACATGTCACGTCACGTTCACATGTTTAGAAGTTAAGAAAAACCTGTACACTGTACTTGAAAATATGAAGAAAAAAAAGATTCTGTATAAATCTATAACTAAGCGGTTCAGTTACAATAATAAAGTTTCTCTGGATAAACATCTTACTGAAATGACCAGAAATATAAAGATGCATCATTTATTTTGAACACTAATGTAAATTTATTAATCCCATCACAAAATGCACCTGAATATGAGACATAAAATCCATCTCCACGTCCATGACCAGCGCTGCGACGTCTCGGCTTCTGTCTTAAGCAGTAGTTTTTCTCGTAGCCTAGTTTCTAGTTCGTTAAATGCAAACTATTGTGAAATGGGCAGCGGTTTTCCTTCATTCTGACACATCTGGAACATCATCCTCCTGCTTCTACTTCTCAAACACAAAACCCTTCAGTTTCACACGAATCAGCCTAATTAATCTGAGGATAACGAACAAATCTAGTTTGCTCATACAGTCAGGAAACATCACGTTTCTGTGTATTTGGAGCGGCTGAATATTGAGTTTGTTCTTCACGTCTGATGACTGAAGGTGTGCAGGAACAGCTGCGGTCACGTGACGTCTGTAATCAACCAATCACAGTCCTGATTACTGAGTGTGTTTACTCTTCTGATGACTTTGGGTGATTGTTTGAAATGTAAATGTCATCGTCTTATTTGACCAGACTTTGTCTCTACAACAATGTATTTTTTTTTAAGGACAGGATTCAGTCTGTCCGTCAGCAACGGACAGGAAACGCATCATTATTCAACAGGAAGTCAAGGACGAAAAGACACTCAAAGATTCATTTCGACAAACACCAGGTGTAATAGTCAACCTTTTTTTAATATTTCAGACATAGTGAAATATTTCCAAAATACTGAATTGTGGATTTACTCTGTTATAACACAAACTGAAGCAGTTCTTACATTCGCAAACATTTATTCCAAAACAACAACAAAAACATTTACACCACATTGGTTTTTGTCTTTTAATGGATTAAGTTCTATGTAGACAAATACATAAAAACTAAATGCCTGAAAGAACATGACGCTTCATGACAAGCTTATATCACGATTCATTTACTGCAAAGAAAATAATATAATAATATTAATCAAATAATATAACAATATTAGTCAATATTGACACAACCGATAATCTCATATGTACATTTCTATATAAAGTGCAGGGAAAAGATCTGAATGGGATCTGCGTCCGTGCCTGTAATATATCGCTCGATAACTAATGAACCGAAGGAGCTGCAGATACGAGCATCCACGAGACAGAAACCAGCGTCACGACTCACATCAGAAATAACCGAAACACCAGCGTCTGAACACGTCCAACACCATCTGACACTACATCAGTTACCCAGCTCTGGACGTCCCTGATCTTGAGTCTGAAACCCAATCAAACACACTACAAGCTGCTCGAACTGCCTGCCATTAAAACTGTAAAACAAGAGCTTCATCTTCATCATCATCATCAGGAAGCAAACGGTGAAACCAGGAAATATCAACACTTCTTTCTGAAGAACCGGACGACTGAACAAGCTCTGAGAAAACGAGCGAGTCAAACAGAATCTGTGACAGAGAATCAAAGCAACCCGCTGACGGATAGAAATACGGCTGCACGATCAATCATACTTAACTGTGATCACCATCTCTGCTGCTCTTGATTTATTAAGCATAATCGTGCAATATTTGGTCATTTATCTTGAAAAGGTTTCATTTTAATTAGGAATTTGCATTGGTAACGAGCTTCCACAAGCATTCATGGCTGCGGTTGCCAGAATCTTTTCTCTAAAACCAATACGTTTTCTGCTTAGTGTTCTACTTAATCTTCCCAACCTGGCAACCTTGCGCTGATGAGCTCAAAACACGGGCGAACGTGAGATATTCTGATCAAACTACAGCCAGTCTGTGAGCAAACCATGATGAAAAGTGATGTTTTCCCGACTATCAGCACGATTGCAAATGTGACATTGATTTTATACAACAGTAGTTCAATAAACCAGTAGTTCATATTAACTGACTTACATTTTAGACACATTATTGACTGTTTTTGCTCCATTTCACTAACGAAACAGTTCTAAGCAAAGCCGCAGCAGAACAGTCGCGCATGAGCAACACACAACAGTGCTTCGTTACTGAATGATTCAGCGTCTTTGAACGAATCGGGTGAATCAATGATTCAGTGAGCCGTTCATAAAGACAGTCACTTGCTTCATTTACTGAATGATTGAGTCTTTGAACGAATCGGATGAATCAATGACTCACTCATTAAGACTTGCCGTCACCTATTGGGGGGTTTGGTTTCATATTTAAAAGTATCATTGCATTTTTCCAACATTTCATATTTGTATGTTAAAAAAAGTAAAACATTCATCTTGTAACATTATTTATGCATTTGCAATTTTACTGTGTAAATGCATTTATGGATCCTCTTATCTCCATCAAACAGCGAGTAAATACATCTAAACGGCACTTCTGATGCAGCTTCTGTGTTTCCTCTGCAGTGGAAAGATGCTGATTTCATCTGAGTGATAACAACCATACAGTGTCTTATTATTCTAACCGAATGTATTGACAAAATGTAAGAATTTGACGTAAATTATGACACGTACATCTAATAAAGTTAGGAAAATATTGCCCTTCATAAAGTTAAAAAGTGTCCTAGAAATCAATTTAAGGCAAATATTACAAATATGCTGATTAAAGTAAGACCTGATGAGACTATTGCTTCAGAATGAATCAGTTACGCCAAAAAAATAAATAAATAACTTTTCCCCCCCCCGGACATGATGCACATGTCAAGTCTTAATGCCGAGCCCTGCTGTATATCATATAATAATTCTGATGAAATAAATAAAAACTTGTGATTATATTTTTAAGCAAAATTGTTAGTTATCGTGCAGCCCTAGTTAGAATGAGTCGCGAGCGCAAGAATCAAAACATGATCTGATTCGCCTCGAGCTGAAACTTCATTTGGTCAAAGTGCTTGAAATGCACGTCTCGCCTTCATCCGCCGCAAACCAACACGAAACATGAGTGCGCAAGCTGCTGAGAATAAAAATGACACGTACGTTTAAATACGAACACACACGATCGTCCTCGCGTCAGTCGCAGTGACTAGAGAGTAGAAAACACGCGGAGCGCGTCTGAAAACGC